CCCCAAAACCCCAAAACCCCAAAACCCCAAAACCCCAAAACCCCTTAGCCTCATAGGTTTGTTGAATTTATCAATTAGTACAAATAGTGTACCGATTAGCCGAAGATTACCTATCTGCTGTGGTGAACAGAAAATTCATCTATTCTAGGACATCAGGGCTTTGAAGTATCTTTAAAAATTGGATTTGTTCAACATCCCACAAGGGTCAGACTTTTCCTTAGCAGGAATTCTTGTCGACCCCATCTTAATTGGTGAACAGAAATCCCCACATTCACTTCGAGATGCATTCATAAGATTACCAACCGACTTGGTGACTCCGAGACTGTTCTCTGGAGAGAGCTTAGGGACAAAATTTTGAGTGACGAATCAGGAAGGCTTTTGGACATGATTTTCATCCATTTCCTCATCACTTGAACTGCTTCTATCGGTTATGAGAAATTACATACTCTATTGTTCCATCTTCATCTTGATTTTGTGCCTCTGTGCTGATTTTTCAGACAGCCTCAAGCGGTGGTGAAAGATACTTCAACTTTCCAAAGCTTATCCCATTGAAAAATGGATGGCTTATCATACTAGGGAAGTCCAAGTCAGACCCCTTGGGTCCTCCTCCAAGCCTCATGATGGGATATTTCTTAAAGATGTTGGCTATTAAGTCGAAAGCATCTTTAAACTTTCCACTTTTTGAGTGCAGAGAAGATGCGTAATCGCAATTCAAGATCTATTGTTATGAGATTGAAACTTACATTATCCTCACAGTCAATGGACCTTGCAGAGCCAAATGGAAACTTTCCGGTAATACTTTCGTAGAGAATGCATCCTACTGCCCAGAGATCGGTTCCAAATCAAGGAGGCTTTCCTAATATTTGTTCTGGAGATTTGTAACAAGCTGTGCCTATTTTTGTGTGCTAAAATGTTCAGAAATGGTAATACCTTTGCCTCAGTGGCTACAAGACTTAGATGCATCCCTTTATCTGAGTCGAGTCTCTTAATACCTTGCTGCTTATGATCTGAGTCTGAATCAGAGTCAGAGTCAGAATCACTATCATCTGAGTTACTCTCGTTTTCATAAACTTCCTTGGCTTCTTCCTTTGAGTAATATTTAGCTGCTCCAAAATCACAGATTTTGACATGGAAATCATCGCTAAATAAGATATTTTCAGGCTTGATGTCCCTATGTACGATTTCAAACTTGCTGATATATACTAAAGCATTGATCATCTCTGACATCCAGAATTTGATCAGATCGAGGCTAATTGCAGTATTTTTATTCAGGTAATTTCTAAGGTTGCCCTTGCTGCAGTACTCCATGACTATATAAGTATTCTCATCATCTTCAAATTCCGCTTCAAATTGGACAATGTTCTTGTGCTTGAGCTTAGGAAGGATGGCAAGCTCCCTCTCAATGCACTTCTTAAATGCAGGATTCTTCATCTTGCTCTTGCTGATCATCTTAATTGCATATTTTTGGTCGTTTATGACACATTCTGCCACAAGCACTATATTATTATTAGGCTATCATACCTTCTGAAAAGGCTCCTTTGTCAATAAATTTATTTATCCTTAAAATCTTCAATACTCAGGGTGTGGTCCAAGCTAGCACACACCTGTGCAAGTGTAGCCCTTACTGGAGGGATCACCTTAAATGAGGGAATTATTTTCTGACTTCCAACTACAGTGTCAAAACCTTTTAGTTTATGACTCGGCCTGAAGAAATTGGAAGTACTAGGGGTTTTCCTTCCAAATTTTGACTTCCTCTCCTTATTAGGTGAAAAGTAATTAAAAGGTCTTAATTGTTTATCACTAAAATAATTCAGAAATGTAAACCAATATCACCAGAACGCCAAAACTTACTCTTTGATTTGAAGGTAGATCACATCAGCTTAGCCTCAAAGGAAGGACTACGCAGATCTCTTGAATGTCCTAAATCAGTTAATATCATATTTTTGCGAAAACCGTTAATCCAAAAATAGCCCTTTCACGAAACCCCCTCATTTTCTCCATTAATATACAAGTAACTCACAAACTTCCCAAAGTTGGGAAGAAGTTTGGTCTAAGAAGTTAGGGTTCTGACCCAAAGGCTCTTAAGTATCAACAAAAGGGAGCACTTCACCAGCTCTGGATTTTGAATTTCACTCGAACAAACAAGAATGGGTAGAGAAAACCTTAGTCCTACTTACTCATTGGGAATTTCTTAAAATAATTATTTTAATTCCTATAAATTTACTCCTTTAAGGGGTTTTGGGGTTTTGGGGTTTTGGGG